CTATGCCCCCACGGTCAGTTATTGTTGGAAAAAAAAAAAAAAAAAAAAAAAAAAAATCACATCAGGATTAGCGTTCTCATCTCTTTCTCGTGGTGGTCTTTGATACCGGGTGAAAACATGACCGAAAGAACAAGATCCCAGATTTGTTGCTCCGACTGTTGCCCGTGCGACCAGTTCCCCGGATAAGCGGACGATGATAGATGAATGAATATTGATTTAAAGGCTAGGTGAAATTGTGGTGTGAAGGTGAAATAAGAAAACCAAAAAAAAAAAAAAAAAAAAAACAAATAATTGAATCAGTGCAGCCTCCCTCGGGAGGTGCTCGGGTCCTGTCCCTCTGGGAAGAGACCTGGACACGCTGGAGCGACTATGTCAGCTCAGCTGGCCTGGGAGCGCCTTGGGGTCCCCCCAGAAGAGGAAGGGACCGGAGGAAGTGTCTGGGGAGAGGGAAGGCTGGGTGTCCCTGCTCAGACTGTTGCCCCCGCGACCCGGCCCAGGATAAGCGGACGATGATGGATGGATGGATATTTTTATGTATTTGATGCTTTAATTTGTTGTTAAGACTGAATCATTTCATCATCAATCAGTGTTTCACAGCATTTTTTGTGCCATGGCACAAATCATCAGGAAAAACCCCACGGCCCCCCACCAAACAGAAATCTCACAAAAAGTATATGTAATGAAATATAATAATCTTCTAGTTTAAATGACCATATAATTTACTAAAATGTCGGCCTTTTTAGTTGTAGACAACACTGATATACTGGCAGGAATTAAAGAAAGACACAAAGATCTTCTTCAACAGCTCTGATTCTCTTTTTTTTTTAGTTTTCATAGCCATCTGCTGCCACCTAGAGGACTTAATTGCTTTGCTTGTCACGCAATGACGAACAAAGGAAATGTATTTGTAATAAATAATCATTTTCGGACCAATTAAGTGAAATTGGATAATTTTCCACGGCACACCTAATGATCTCTCACGGAACACTAGTGTGCCATAGCACAGTGGTTGGGAATCACTGGATTAAATTATTAAAATTTAAGATATGTGAAAAAAAAAAACAACTAAATGTGATCTCTGCTTTTAACCTATCACCAAAGTGAACAGTGAGCAGCTTTAAGCGCCCAGGGAGCAGTGTGTGGGGACGGTGCTTTGCTCAGAGAACCAAGCAGCTGGTAGACTCAAATCTGAAGCCTTCCGGACCCATGTCCGCTTCCTTAACCACTGTTTTAACATTAACAAGGAAAACAGTTTTATGAAGGTTGTTACAACCACTTCAGTTTTTACTTCACTCTGCGATCCGAATTCAGACAACAGGTTGATGATTTTATTTATTTATTTATTTTAAGTAAACCAACACAGGAAATTTTCCCCTTGTTTCCCCAGTTTGGTGTCAGTGGCCTGACAAGTTTCTTGGAGTTCACAGACAATGGTACCAACCCCAACATCGTTTTCGAAATCCTTGGAACGAATTATGGAGAAGACAGAGGAAGAGGAGTCAGTAGGGTAAGTGTTTAAAACAGAACCCCCATATGGGGTACCATTGGTGGGAAATAATTTTTTTCCTACACATTGATGGGATGTGGCGCTTTGGCCCAGAGGTAATGTCTCTGTCATTGGTGTGGAGCCCCAGGGTTCACCTCCTGGGCAAGTTCGAATCCCAGTTAGGGCAGTAGGTACCAGTGGACTCACCACCCGCAGGAAGGTTCAGGGGGGCTGGTACGGTGCAGTGTGATTTGGGTGGCGGTCATGGTAACAGATAAGCGGATGAAAATGGATGGATGGATGGATATTGATATGATTTACATAATTCCTACATTGACAAGGGAACTTCAGTGCACCTGCACTTGTCATCATTTACATCTCATTCTTATTCAGGTATTCCTTCCCTCCTGGCTGTAACAGCTATTGCCATCGTGGTTTTATTCATATAGATTTGTCTCAGAAAGATTTCTTTCTCCACTGTCACCACAAAGTCATTGGTGAACTATCCTTTAGAAACCGGAAACGATTGGGGCTATTTATTTACACTCTGAATGGTCAACTCAATCAGAGAAAGTCAGAGTACCTCACCTGCCTCAGATGTTCATAATGTAATAATAATAATGTTAAAGTATTAAATATAGAATGAATGGAATTCAATATTTAAATTTGTTTTGAATTGCATTCAGTATTTAATTATGTGCTTAAATTCACAGGTGAGACCACTGCTTTATAAAATAGGAATGTAAAAAAGTGGAACTATTTGGAGCTGAGGTAAAAAAAAAAAAAGTGCAGAACAGGGTCAGCTTTACCCTACACCTTGACCCCTGGAGGGTGGAAGTGGTTTTGGATTTTAGAAACGTAACATCTGCTTCTCCCCTTATTTCGTCCATTGGTTATTTATTCAAACACAAGCCTTTAATGCTGTAAGGCTAATTTGACCTCTCTATTTCTTTACACTTGTTAGTGCTTAATTTTGCCTCGGAAAGTTCTAATGTACCAACACTGTGACTCACATTGAACACGTACAGTATGCAAAAAACGCACACTACTGCCTCCGGGCGTTAACCTGGTCGTCCTCTTAACGATAACATTTTCCTTAAAACCAGCAAGTAAATGTGGGTGACAAACCCCTGCCACTGCTAACCACAGTGTGGACAGTGTGTATTTTGTTGTATTGTATTATAATCTTAGTCCTGTGTACTGTGTTTAGAGAGTAAGACTAGAAATGACAGATGGGAGAATAGAGGGAATACAGAATACAGAAGTGGAAAAAGAATCAGGTCAAAGATTAGTCACCCAGGAAAACCGAGACACTGCAGTCAAGTTCACCCGAAAAGTCATGCTGGTTCTTCTTTTCTGTTAGACACACACCGGTCCCCCCCCCCCCTCCTCGTTGTCCATCCATTTGTCTTTATTGACTCTTCTCTTTTTCGCTCCGATAAACAGTCACACTGCCAATCTTTCTAGTCCCCTCATCTGGCAGTGCCTCAGGCAATTAAAGCTAGCACAGATTCTGACATTTTGGGGGCATGGGTTAATCTTTTAATTCGCCTTTGTTTTCTACCTTTCCTTTTTATTTTTCTCTGCACTGACATGAACCCCATCGCTGGGGTCACAGCACTAGTTTTTGTTGTTGCTGCCACTGTTAAAAAAAAAAAATGTTTTGCAGAAGCCAAAACAGCCTTCAACCTAAAGATGTGTGAAAACGATTCTTTGGCCTGTGTTTTGGTTTTGTATTAGGATGAGTAAATGGGACTTTTTAAGCTGACAATGAAGGTAATTTAAGTGCACAGAGTTTTGCTGTCATCTCCAGTGCTTTTGAGGGGATAAACATGCCAGAAGTGTGCCAGATGGTAGTGTGCATGTGTTTCTGCAGGAAAGATTTTAGGTCCAGCACATTCAGGGAATCTCTGGTTTCTTCCCATTCCAAAAACATAAGCGTTTGAATTACCTTATGTTCCAAATACATCAAGATTAAATGAGCTTTAAAGCAATCAGTGACTGTAATGATTATGATTTATTTTTTTATAAGTTAGGCAAATACACAGATTAAGACAATCCTCCATTTATTATTATTATTATTATTATACTAGTAGTTGTATTGTTATTCTTACTATTGTATTGTTCTTGTTTTAATTTTGGTCCCATAGTAAAGCGGTTCATATGCACCGTACATTTACAGTGGGGGAAATACGTATTTGGCCCCTTGCTGATTTTGCAGGTTTGCCCACTTACAAAGAATGCAATGATCTATAATTTTAATCATATGTATATTCTAACAGTGAGAGACAGAACCCTAAAGAAAATTCCAGAAGGGGAAAGGGGACTCTCAAGAACAGGCTTGATCTGGGAAACATGAAAAGTGGGGTGAACTCTCATATTACGAGGTGGTCTTAATCGGACGGCAGCTGGATTGATTATTCTTAGGGAATGGACCAACAAATCTGGGGGCTAACTTCTTGGAATCTGACTGAAGGGGCAGATTCTTGGTGGAGAGCCACACCCTCTGGCCTACGGTGTAGGAGGGTGCCTTAGCGGTGGCGGTTTGCATAGTGAGTGTATCGTTCTCTGGCCCTTAACAGGGCAGTCTGAGCTCGGGCCCAGGTTCTCCTACACTGCCGAACGAATGACTGAACAGATGGACAGGTGACCTCCCTCTCCAACGAAGGAAAGAAGGGGGGTTAATACCCGTAGACACATTGGAAGGGAGAGAGTCCTGTGGCCGAACTGGTGTTGTAAGCATATTCCACCCACAGAAGACATTCAGACCAGGTGGCGGGATGTTCGGACGTAAGGCAGCAGAAGGTCGTCTCGAGAATCTGGTTCACCCTCTCAGCCTGCCCATTAGACTGGAACCCAGAGGACAGACTCACTGTGGCACCAATCAGTGAACAAAACTCCCTCCAGAACACTGAAGTGAACTGTGACCTTGGTCTGAGACCACATCCAGAGGGAGTCCATGAATTCTGAAAACGTGGGTAAGGACAAGCTGTGCCGTCTCCTTGGCTGAAGGAAGCTTGGGCAATGCAACAAAATGGGCCATCTTGCTGAACTTGTCCACAATGGTAATGTCAAGACTTTGGTGGTTATTTAAAGCGCTTCATTTTATTTTGGAAAGTCAGTGTTGCTTCCTGTGCAGTTGTTCACGGCAGGTGTATTCAGGATTTAACGGAAGCACATAGCCCATTGGTAAGTTGTTAGTAGCTAAACTATATAATGTATGATTTAATAGTATAATGTGTTGCACTGTCAAGCTAACTTAAAAATGTGATGTTAAAATATGTTTGTTATTTAGCACTCATGGTTGGCGCTAGTTCGCGGTTAGCGCGTTAGCTCGCCGTTGGCACGCTAGCTCCCGTTAGCATCGCCGCTAGCCCTATTAATATACTTGGTTTAC